ACTCAAAGGAGGTGTAGGTTCATCTCTTGTGGCATCAAGAGAGGTGTTTTCTAAACTTTTACAAATTGTATTTATGTGATTATAACTTGTAATTGTTTTGTGAGTAGTGAATTGTTTATCTTGTTTTGAGATAGGTGACTGGATGTAAGATTGGTAAGATCCGAACCAGGATAAAATCATCTGTGCAAATTTCTCTCAACCTTATTCACTTTATTTGTTATTATTATTTGCTTAGTAAGTTTAATTGAATAGAAATTTTAAAAGGCACACATTTTTATTAAAACCAATTCAAAGCCCCCCCCTCCCCTCTTGGTTTGTTATCCCATGTTAACCATTCCGCTGCAGCCGCTTTGACAATTGGTATCATTGCTTTAATAGTTATTCAAATGGCAGGATCATATTAAACTTTTGTAGAGGGTGTTTCTATCAATAGACCACCATTATTCACAAGTGAAAATTATGCATTTTGGAAGGTTAGAGTGCAAATATTTATTGAGTCTATTGATGTTGATATTTTGGAAGCTATTGAATTTGGTTCTTTTGTTCCTACTAACAATATACAGGAACCAAAGTCTCGTGTTCAGTGGACTGGTGAAGATAAGAAAAGGTTTCAAAATGATGTAAAAGCTCGTAATATTATGTCATCTGCTTTAACTGTTGATGAGTTTTAAAGGATTTCTGTTTGTAAGACTACATAAGAAATGTGGGAAGTGCTGAGAGTAACCCACGAAGGTATAAATGATGTAAAAAGAGCTAAAAAGAATATCTTAATCCTATGAGCCAATCCGTTTAACCCACCAACCTATGGTGGGTCGGGTTGGGTTGATTCACTAAGTGACCAATCTGTGGTGGACCGAGTCGAATCGAGCCAGGTTACCAGTTTTGACAACTCTACTATAAACAAATGTGACAAATGTGGAATCAATAATTACTTATCACATTATCAAAATAATTAACTCAAACAATTAAAAATAACATTTGACAAAATCAAACCATAAAAAAATTTAAGTAAAAAAACTCTATTTAGAAAATTAAAAGGTGTATTTAAGCAAGTAGTGAATTTTAATCTTTGTGGAAGTGGAATGTGATATCTTAGGGTAAAAAATTCAATAGCATATGAAAACAATTTTTGAAACATAGTTTTTATTGTCAAAAACAGTTTTCATTCATTAAGTCGCACTTTTAATGTGATGCTTAAAAAGGATTAATTAAGACAGTGAAGTAGTGATGGTTATTTTTTAATGGAAAATTTAGACTAAGCATTAATTATCTGAAATTGATCATTCTATATAATATATCTTTGAAGATTAAAAATTCCAACATTATATAATGATTAAATGAATGATGAAGTAATGAAGAATGAAGGACTGATGAAGATTAGAGAAGTGATATCCTTATGAGAAAAGATGAAGAAGAGAAAGTTTGATTTGTTTGGATGACGAGGGTTTTAGTACTGCACCTCCAAAATTTTCCAAAATACCTAAGTAATTAAAATAGTTTAAATATTTAAAAAATCAAAATAATCAAAAATTTCTTTTGTAATAGTGCATGAAGACATATATCTTCTCTCTCGCATCTCATTTCTGTGTCTCGTTATTAAGTTAACTGATTTTATTAAATTTTTTGTAAAAAACTTGTATAAATAATCATAAAAATTATACATAAATTTAAATATAATTATAAAATAATATATATATATATATATATATATATATATATATATAAAATCGGGTATGCATATTCAATAAGCACTATAATTTTTTTTAATCTAAATTACTTTTATTAATTTTAATAAATTTATAGAAATTAATTTATATTAATTAAAAATTATATTACGTTATAAACTAATAAAAAGTCATACAAAATTTAATAATTATAAATTAATAAAATAATTAAATAAGTAATATAATTTAATTTTTAAAACAAAACTCATATATATATATATATATATATATATATATAATCGGATATACAAATCTGATAGAGAGTGTAAACTTTTTCTTTTTAATCTAAATTACTTTTATTAATTTTAATAAATTCAAAATTTTAATTTATATTAATTAGAAATTATATTGTTACGTTATAAATTCATAAAAAAATCATACAAAATTTTAAAAATAATAATTAAATAATTAAATAAGTAATATAATTTAAGTTTTATATAATATATTAAAGTTAAATTGAATTTTGGCATCTAAAATTATAAGCATAGGAAATTCACATCCGATTTATATAGATTCGACATTTCATATATATGATAGCTTCATCTAAGCTTATTTTTTTTATGAAATAACAATTTTATTAATTTTAAAAAAAGTATAGAAATTAAATTATATTAACTAAAAATTATATAATACCTTATAAACTTATACATAAAACTAAAAAAATTAAACTAATATAACGTATACATGAAGAATATAATTTAAAATAAAACGTAAATAGTTAGTCGAATTTTTATATCCGAAGATCTTTATATCGGATGTCCACATCCGAGTTTGGCTAACATCGGATCTCAATAACCAATATGTTCATTTTCGAATTTTTATATTCGATTCATGTTCGTTGCATGCAGATTAACAAAAACCTTCCTCCAGCTATTTCAATGCAGCCAACAACAACAAACACTCTAACGCACCACCACGAACCACCAAGAGTACAAGAAGAAGCACTCCAAGGCATCACCACGAACCAGCAAGAGTAATAGAACAAGCACTCGAATGAACCACCACGAAGCACTCAGCGTACCATCACCTTCACTTGATATGAGCGGCAAAGAAAAATACTCAAGAGGAAAAAAAGATTATGAGACGTGCAATTCAAATGGGGTATTGAGGTGTAGGATTTATTAATAAGGGTTAAATATGTTTTTCGTCTCTTAAGTATCGCACGATTTTGGTTTTAGTCCATACTCGAAACTTTGATGATTTTTAGTCCTCGTAGTTTTGAAACTATTAGTATTAGTCCTTAAAAATGGACGGCGTTAAGTTTTAGTAGATGTTGCAAACGGCGATGCCAGATTTGATGCCAGCTACGCTCTGCACTCTCTCACATTCACATTCAAATTCTCATTCTCATTCCCATTAAGAGTGCAGTTGGCATCAAACTTGGCTTCACCGTTTGCTACATCTACTAAAACTTAACGCCATCCATTTTTAAGGACTAATACTAATAGTTTCAAAACTACGAGGACTAAAAACCATCAAAGTTTTGAGTATAGACTAAAACCAAAATCGTGTGATACTTAAGGGATGAAAAACATATTTAACCCTATTAATAAAAATGAAATGGGGTACCAGAGTAGAAGGGTAAGAGAGGTGTAGTCAATGGGCACAAAAGTTTTCAATAAACAAAAAATTAACAAATAATCACTCTAATTAATTAAGAGTATTTTAAAAAATTGGAGGTGTAGAGTGAAATGGTTGGAGGTGTGGGTGAAACACCCTTGGATGATTAAGGTGTGTAGGTGGAGCCCAAGTTTCGTACCCGAAAGTTTAGAAAAGGAAGTTTGGGCCGAAGACACAAACACCCCATATGAACTTTCATACTAAAAAATGAATTCAACTGTCCTTTTGTCTCCTTCTCTTCTCTTTAATCCCATCATTTCCCTCTCTCCTTATCTTTAATCACTGTTTCTTCCATTCCATTCCAACATCAACCTACCTAACATTGTACTATAATCTTAACCATTACCCTTCTTCTACCCTCATCCTTTCAACATCACACATGAATCAAATTTCCAACACAGGACAATTTGTTTTTTTTTCTATCATCTCATGTTAAATTATATTATAGAAAAAACTTAAATATATTTTTATTTTTTACGTGAAATTAAGCTTTATCTTTATTTTAAACTTTTATTATTTTTACCTTAAATTTTAAAAATGAATGAATATAATTTTTTTAATCAGATAACCTTAAATTTTTAAACTTATTAAATAATGTTTCATATTCATGAATTAGAATGTAATAAACTATATAAATAATTTAAATGTTAGTGTATATTGCTTAATAAACAAATAAAATATTAATATAATTAAGTTAAAAAAAACTATATTCAATATTTTTAAAATTTAAAAACTAAAAATATATTTAAAAGATAAAATTCTATCAATCATTATGACACGTTTTGGACTAAATTTATAATTAAGATTGGTTTTGAATACATGTTTCGATTAGTCTTTTTAAACTATGCCACCACCCCCGATCAATCAACAAGGTTTTGAACCGGTTATTCAATTGGAAAAGAAAAATAAATCAATACTCCTTTAAAATTGATGTAAAAGCTACACGTTCTTTGAATGAGAGGAAGTAGCTTTCAAATGATATTGGGTTTTTTATTATTTATGTCCATGTTTTAGGATGAAGACACAAGATTGCATACACATCTCCTAGAAGAAAAATGGTGATGAAAAGATAAACAAGTTGAGAGTGATTAACTATGTTGGTTGAATGAAAATATCTTTCTTCCACGTATTAAATTCTTAAATAATTATGATTAGAGAAGTAAGCTAGTAATTAGTTGAGAAAATCAAAATTTTAGACCAAGCCACTAATCCATTGATCATTAGTTTTGTACTTTTGTTTTCATTTCCTAATTATGGATAGATCATGCATGAGTCAAAGCTAATTTCACAACACAACTTATTCTTAATTTTAGTAAATTTGATACCTTTAGACTATACAACTTTTTCCTAATTTTAGTAAATGGGAGTTTGCGTTGCGTGCAAAAAAAGAAAGTTCAAAATTAAAAACACACGATCCGGTTGAGATATTTTGAAGGATGATGCCAATCAGGCATGATTCAGAAGATTCAATAATCAAAAGTCATCTTTTTATAAAACATTTTCCTCGATAAATTATTATTATTATTATTATAAAATTTTCACATCTCAACATGTAAATACAATTAAAAGTTGACAAAACTAAACAGATTCAACTTAAGAAAACCTATATTTGGAAAATTTAAACCAATTTCTAAAGATCTCCGCATTAATACAAAATTTGGTAGTTTGTTTTTACTAAGTCAACCATCCCTTTCATAGTAGTTCTTGAAAATGATTATATCCTCTGCCTTTTCCCCTTAGATGATCTCAAAGCCCTTCTTTCAGATTCCAAAGCAACACAGGTTGTGTTTGGCACTCATCATCTATTCAGAGTATAATAAGGTAAGAGGAAGAAGACATGAAACAGAGCACATGCGACTATTGTGGGGACTTCACTGCTCTTCTATATTGCAGAGCAGATTCTGCAAAGTTATGTTTCTTCTGTGACCGCAAAGTCCACTTTCCCAACCAGATTTTCTCCAAGCACTCCCGCACACAGCTCTGTGATGGCTGTGCCGATTCCCCTGCATCGGTGCTCTGTTATACAGAGAACTCTGTTTTCTGCCACCACTGTGACTGCCAAAACCATAACAACCACTTGCTGTCTCGGCAACACCAACGAAGATCCCTTCAGGGGTTCTCTGGCTGCCCTTCTGTCACTCAGATGTTAATGTTTTTGGGTCTTACCGAAGAATCTCTCCTTTCAACTGAGGGAGGAAGTTCCCATCACGACGGCCTTTCCAATTTGCACGTGTGGAATGCTCCTTCTGTTTTTGGTCCTGAAGATTTCATTTCTTCCTCTTCTTCTTATAAGGTATGTGTTTTCGCTTTAATGTCGTTCCTTGTCGCGTCAAGTTATGCATTGCGGAGATCATTGTACTCCTGAGTTCTCACCAAGTTTAGGAGTCTTGACTGAAAGTGTTTTCAAGATTGAAGAGCTTTTTATTTGGTTGTGAAAATAGAAAATGTAACCGAAATTTGTATAATGTTGTAACGTTTATTTTGTCTTTGTATAATTGGTTTGGACTGAGATGATCGTAGATGTTTTGGAATTTGGGTGTTAAAAAGTGCACATGAAAATGTTTGAGTATTGCTACGATTTTGACATGTTTCAGGATATTGTTGTTGAATCAGAATCGTAAGGGTGCGTGCGGGAGACAGAGAGAAGAAATTGTGAGTCAGCTCGGAGAACTAATAAAGTTGGAGGCTGACTTGATTGGTGGAGAAGTAGATGCTGCTGAACCACAAAAGCAATTTGAAAATTTGTCTACGGGTTTTGAACGTGACACAGAGACTAATATGTTTCCTTCATATGAGGTAAATCACGTAGCACTTTAGTCATTGAAGAAATCATTGATTGGTGACAGATTTTAATAATTGAAAGAGATGAAAGGACTAAAGTATCCTGGTATTAAATTTAATCTAAAGGGAGTAGTGATTGGTGTTCTATGTGTGGAAGCATTGAATGCAGTGTGCATGACATAAGTGAGAAAAAAGAGAAGCAAAGCTGAAATTGGGAATGTGCAGGCAGGTGTGTTTTGTTGGCATGGAGAAAGCAGTGATCGTGCAAATCAAATTGTTCCTTCTGATAATTCGGTGAGTGATTATAGTAAGAAGCAAGGACAACCATCAAATTATTTAAAGCCTCCTAAAGAGTTAACAAGTCATGAAAGAGATTCGGCATTATTGCGTTACAGAGAGAAGAAGAAAACAAGAAGGTTCTCCTTTGCTTCCCTCGTCTGCTCTATTCCATGCCTTTACATTTATGAATCTGAATTCATACAAATTTTGATGCCCCTCTTATTGCTATGGGGCATTAAACATTAAATGAAGCTTAAAGAAGTAAAATTTATTCATACTTTTATGGTTTATATTTGAATAGAGAGGAAATTGGTGGAAGCAATCTGAGATATAAGTAGATAGATATGTGCATGATGATCTTGATGAGTGTGTTGTATTTGTTTGTAGATTGATTAATAAATAGAATTGACATCCTTGACGTGGAAACAGGTATCACAAGCAAATCAGATACGAATCACGAAAAGTTCGCGCAGAAAGCAGAATGAGAATTAAGGGTCGGTTTGTGAAAGATGAAACACAAAAATAATAGTAAATTATTATTACTAGTAGCTGATTAGAGCTAACTGATGTGCACCTAAGAAGACAAGTGGTGAGTACAATAGAAAGAGACAGAAGAAAAATAAGCCTTATAAGCATTGGAGTGTTATGTGATTAAGAGGATGAAAGCAATGCTATTGTGTATAATTTAGCCCTTTTGTACGTGATTAAATGGAATGAGCGGTGGGCAATTTTGATTGCTACAAAGTTACAGATCTTCAAATTTACGTTCTGCGTGATAAGATTGCTGCCTTCTCTTGACTTCATATTTTACCAATTTTAGGCTTTGATGTAAGGTATAAAGTATTCTATGCACATGAATATGATAGTGCAGAAAATCCATCCTTGTGAGATTTCTACAAAAAGTACAAAACAACTGTATTGGGTTTTCGGTACAAGAAGACGCCCAAATCTTATGCAAACCAAAACTTCTTCTTTTCCTTGCTGTTACTTTAGAGACCTAATTGATGATATTAAACTTTTCAACCTTTGTTCTTCATAATCCTTAATTTTACCTTTTTTAAATATCCGACACCAGTAACTTCATACTAACTCCTGAAATGTTGTTATTTTCATTATTTTTTAAATTATGAATACCTTCAAAACTAAGTAACGATATGTGAATGTACTTTGTATTTTCTGATCTTGGGTCTGTCGGTGCACTTGGAAAATTTCTTAAGAAAAATTGACAATGATAGTTCAATTATGTATCGGATAGTTTATATTTGAATAATGAATCGTTTCGAATCATTCATAAACATTAAAAAAAAATTGTAAAATATACTTAAATATATAAGATATATAAATATGTAAAGATTTATGATTGTTGCTTAATATTCTTACAATTTACTAAACAAATTTCGCATTATAGTCATTTATAAAATGAATATTGTTTTTGCTGCTATTGCATAATTACTGCATATTACGATTGTTTCTTATAGATACTAAATAACTTAAAAAAATTATCCTAATAATTCATATTTCATTTTCTTCCTCTCCAAAATCTATATCACTCAAATCATCTTCATCTTATACTGAAAGCTCTTTTTCAATGCCTTCAACTTCTTCCTCAATTCTTACTATAAATTTTTCATTTTTATTGGTATTGACATTTAAGTTTCTAGATTATATTAGCAAAAGAAAAACAAATAAGTTTTAGTTCTAATTTGTTGAACTTTGAAATTTTAACTTTTAATAACTCCAAATAGAAATAATTGCATCTTTTTCTCTTTTTTTTATTTCAGCTCCTTCATCAATTCAAAACACTCATGTGCATCCATTTATATAAATAAAACAAAAAATTTCAATGATTCATTCGTCATCGGATTCAATATTCAACAAACATATGGGATCATAATTTTTTCTCTTTTCTTCTCTACTCTTTTGTCTCATCTTGAGCCGAAGATTGTACTTCACATACACAAGAAAATTTAATCTTTGTTGTTCCAATCTATTTCTTCTCTTGATATGCATTTGGTCAAATATCCTCAAATTCCTTGCACATCCCATCGTAATACTTGTGAGGCTCAATACTTTTATGGCTATGTAGCTCTTTACCTTCTCCTCCATAACTCTACCACCAAAGAGCTATCAAAACAAATAAGTATTGACTTATAATGTAATGAGTTAAATATGTTTATAGTCTCTAAACTTGGACCCAAAGTTTAAATTTATCCTTATCCCAAACTTGGATACATTTTGGTCTTCAAACATTAAAAATGAATTAATATAGTTCTTTTAACCTAACCACATTAGTTTTTGTTTTTTTTTTTTTACATATTAAACGATGTTTCAAACTAACATTTGAGTTGGAACATGTCAAACAGTGTAAACAACTCAAATGTCAACCTGAAATTTCATTTGACACGTAAAAATTATTCAACACTATTGAGTTAGAATGACTATATCTATTCATTTTTAAAGTGTAGGAATCAAATTGTATCAAGGTTTGGGATAGGGAGAATTTAATTTCACGTGCAAACTTAGAAACTAAAAATATATTTAACCCTAATGTAATTAAAAGTTTATAAATCATATAAGAATGGTAATGAGGGTAATTTAAATATGGGTTGTTTCTTATTTCTAATAACTATTGTCATGTCCATTCCAAAAATCTCCATAGTTGCCTTGAATTTTTCAAGTTATTAAACAATAACAACTATTGTTCTAACCTCTAAAACCATTCTTTGAAATGTTTCATATAAACAAACCATCACCTCACTATCCAAATCGAAGCCTGTGTTGTAGTGGTATCTAACACAATAAAAATAAGTTGATGAGAACAAAGAAGGTAGTGCTACTTAGTAAGACAAATTTAGATGTAATTAGATTACCTAGAATTGAGATGGTATGTTTTTCTTTCTTTTTTTGCATGGAGAGGCCTGTGTAGTAGTAAATTCCACCTAGTATCAATAATTTTCCACACTATTTTATATTTTGTTCCTTTCTTTTGGAAATTTTCAGCAATTTACTCCTTATCTCTATCCATTACTTAATAAATATATGGCAAAATTGGTTTTACATCACCATCTAAGAGCTTCAACACTTATACAAGTGAAATCAAACATTTCAGCCATGATTGATATGTGATTAATCAACATTAGATTCATCACTTGCTTAGCCTCAATTTTACGTGAACTACTAACCTATTCATTTAAAGAAAACATTTATATAAAAGCATTTCTTTTGTTGCTTAATACAATTTAATTTAAGATAAGAAGTAGCAAAATGTGTCAGACCAATAGAGTGCTTTCTGTAAAAATTAAGAACCTATGGCTGCCTATATATTGAACGAGTGATTTTCTTTGCATTGACAACGCTATTGTAAAATATCATAAACTCTTCAATATCTTCAAGAACTAAATCAAGATAGTGAGTTGTGCATGAGGGAACTAAAATAATTTGGTTCTTGTTTCTATTAACATTCACCTAGTTGTCCTAAGTTTAAAATAAAATATTCGTCTATGAGCACTTAGACAACATGCTACTTTCCAATCTCATCTATTATGTTGTCAAACAATTAGTACATTTTTTCTCATCTTTTATCACATCACTTGTAACAATAGATTTTATAAAAAAAAATCTCACTTGGACTAGTAATAAGAAAATTATTGAGTGATCTTTGTTTTAAATCTGTCCAACCATCACACATCAATGTGCATCCCATTATTCTCAATCATTCCTATATTTTTTAGACATGTTGTACATTATCCATAGCTTTTTTTTCAAATGAGAAACCTTTACCTCATAATAAGGAGGCTTTAAACATTTGTCATACTCTTCAGCACCTTTAACATTTGGATAAAAAGAAGACTCCTTACAAGATTAAATGGCAATGCATTACCAAAAATGCAATTGCAAAATTCTTGAATTGCATCTTCTTTATTCCTATAAGATGCATTGATTGTCATATGTTGGAGATCATTATTTCCTTGTTTCCATTTCTCTTGTAACTTTTGCACAATCAAAGTTGTTATCTTCATCTTTTTTTATCCTTACTTTCAAGTAGCTTCACAAATATTTCATTCACGTCATTTGGAACATTACAATAAGGAATAATTCTTTGTTCTAGTAAGATGATCCTTCATCCCTAATATGTCACCCCAACAAGCCTGAGAGCAAAATTTACATTTAATTTGTAGTGTTTGTAGGAAGACTTTCACAATAATTCTAAGTGATATCAAACTCTTGTTAGTTCAATAGGCTCTAGAAGAGGAAGTTGAATAAAATCTCAAACTCTTTTCAAACAAAATAAACTGAAACACTTTAAATCAAACAAATTAAGCACAAAAAGGATTTTATATTGGTTCCTCCAAACTTAGAGACTATGTCCACCAATTCTTCCTTAAGCATGAACTTAAAAGGTTCCGCTAATAAAATAAAATTTGATTACAACTAGCTAACACACTTTTCTAGATTACACAAGTACACAAACCTCTCCAAGTTATGTCAAGTACACAAACCTAGGTTACATGAGTATACAAACATCTCCAAGTTATACATTCTTAATTTTTCCTTAAGATTAAGAACTTTCAATAATGTAAAAAGAATCTCTTAAAAAAGACCACATAAAAAGTTTACAAAGTGGAAAATATTACAATATATTTTCACACACTCATTGTTTACAGAGACTAAACAATTGTTGTATATGTTATAAGCTCAATCTTTTGAATTTTTTTTCTTTTGTATATTTTTTTCTTTTCCACTTGTTGTTTTCCTCTCATATTTTTTTATGTTATCTTCTTTATATTTTTTTCTTCATCTTCAATTCCTTTTTATAGTTGTAGAAATGATGACCATTAAAGTTTTTCAAAATGAATTATTTGATATTGCATATGAGAAAAGTTTTGATGAAGTCTTCAAGTTAATCTTTAGATAATCTTCCTCGAAATTCTTTTATCATGAAATAGGATTCGTCAATAAATGTTAATTACTAATGGATGTATTGAAGGATTTTTTTTAACTTACAAACATATATATCTATCGGTGAAATTTAGAAACCGACAAAGTTTACCCATGGATGTGGTTGTTTAATTTACTGACAGATACATTCGTCAATAAGATTGTGTATGACTTTGAACTTTAAATACCATGTATATTGTGTCATCAAGATGATTTGAACTTGATTTATAGTTACACATGAAGGTTTAGTGGAGACCTGAGCATGAAATTCAAATTAAAAAAAAAAATCCATAACAAAGCATCTCAAACTATTTAAGATATTTAGAGATGTTAGGGTTGCAAGAGAACGCCCTTTATTGGATTGGGGAGCACATATGGAACTTATTGCTAGCACATTGAAATTCTTCTAATTATCGGAACAAATATGCTACAACCCAAAGGAATAAAGCTTTAAATAAAGGTGGAACCACACACAGGTGGTTCTATTGCCACTCATGTGCATGTCATTCGTATGGTATACATCTTGACTCCTTTTTTTATAATATTATGATATAATTTATGTCTTTTAAAATTGATGTATATATATATATATATATATATATATATANATATATATATATATTAATATAATCTCATATTATGTTATAGACACAAGAGTTAAGGTGGCCTATGCATGTTGATGAGGTATT